ACTCTCACAGTGCCTCTCTCCACCCAGATGTATAAACAGGTAGCGGCAAATTTAATGCTTGGGGTAAACCTGCGATGGACCAGCATCCTATCCAGGGGGGAGTAGAAATACTCCTAGTTGCTTCATGCTACTGAAATCAGAAATAAGCCCCGGCTTGATTGGTCACTTGGCTTATATGTAGACTTAAGCTACATTATATTTTCATGATCATTGAACAACAAAGAAACAATGAAAAATTTGACTTTTTTGATAGAACTGTCTAATAACCGCATGAGTTACTGATAAATGCTATATCCGGTACAAAAGGGAAGTGTGATGAGAAGAACTTTCCTAACACAAGCTTCAGATAATTTTGTAAAGTTTTTGTTTAAGTTTTGCTGAAACAGAGATTTGAGCATTTTGGTGTGTTTTTAGGTTAAAGGATGCTACTCGTCAAGCAGACCGTATGACAAAGACACACAAGAATGCTGCTGACACCTTCATCAGGATCTCAAGTTGTATTTCGCAGATGGGCACTAGTGAATACATGGATATAGATAGATTCCTGAATAAGGTACTGAATGAAGTCAGTCTCCTGACAGTGTGTAATCTCAAGAATGGCCAGAATCTTAATTCTCCTCATGTCTAAGTAATTACTGTCAAGCAGACAGGTGACAAGAATAAAGAAAATCATGAAGTCAAGGATTTGATTTAGTGTGAACTTGACATTAACAGTGGTGAGCAGAATCAACCAACCAATTTTTTCTCATATGATGTAATCTTTTTCAGGTTTCTGAATATTTTGAGAAAGCTCGTAAATTGGAGGGCCGTGTTGCCTCTGACCAAGATCTGAAAACTTCTGACCTACTGAGATATTACGTGAGAGACACGGAGGCTGCAAAGAACTTGTTGTATCGCAGGACGAGATGTTTAGCTGACTATGAAAATGCTAACAAGGCCCTGGACAAGGCAAGGGTAAAGGGCAAAGAAGTCGCAGCAGTAAGTACAATATACATGAACATGTGATTTGTGTTAATACTATTAAAATAATGAGGGATCATGGGGAATTAGTTTTATTGGACTATTTCAAATGATATTTGACGCGAAAGACATTGGGAAGAATACATGTACATGTAATTTAAACATTTTTATGTGGAACAGTTTGCATGGAAAGTTTAAAACTTGCCTTTTGGGTGGTGTATGGCATTTGCAGACTGCAGTCAACTGCAGACTATAATATTTAAGCCTAAATAGCACTCTGATTAGCCTGAGTATCTGTCAGGCTAGCCTGAATAGTGCTCAGATTAGCCTGTTAATGGTTTGCTCTCAGTAATGAAAACAGGAATATGATTTTAGTTAACAAGTCTGTAATCTGCAGTCTGCAAAAGTCACACGCTGTGTTTTGGGAAACCTCACAATACCATAAAGTTCTGAATATAATGACTTTTGTTTCTTTTGGATTTAGAAGCCTTCCTTTTTTCTGTTGCTAGCTCTGAAAGGAGGCAACTTTGGACTTCCCTCTGTCTCAGTAAAAGAAGAAAAAAAAGGGATAAATCTTGTTGAAATAATTTATGTTACAACCAGCGGAGTAATGCATTCCTATTGAAGTGAGGGTGAGGGTGATCAGAAACAAATATCAGATCACTTCAGTTCAGCTTGTTGTATCTGTTATTGCCATGAAAAGTCACGTTTGAGGTCACTACCTTTGGTTAACAATTCAGGCGACAATTAAGGGGAACATATCCATGTATGTTGGCATTGAGTATTGAGTTATCCACTGTCTGTAGGTTGTGTGCTTTTGTTCAGTTCTGTTTTCTTTTGTTCACTCCAGGCAGAGACAGCTCAGCAAACAGCTTCTGAAAAATATGAACACATTTCAGAAGTAGCTAAACAAGGTCAGTGAGAAGTGTCATGAGTATGAACAGGGATTTTATTAAGGGCCAGGCACCGGACAAATTCAACAGTTGTGAGCATGATTTTGCCTGACTGGTTTGACCATCTCGCAGAAAGTTAATCTTACAAAGAAGTTCAGTTCAAAGAGTTTTTGCCTTCCTGTGAAAACCAGTTTCCCTCCAGCTGAAAATGTTAATGAAACCCCTGTAAAAACGAAGGTATCATGTAAACAGAAACCTCCAGTCAAGTCACTCCCTAAAGTGGCTGGCAAGAGTCTGGGTGTGTTTGTATGGGAGGGGGAGGGGGTGGAATGTGTTTCAGGCAGAGATTGTAATACCTCACTTAGACATTTGTACACAACAATACAGCACAGTCTCCTTTAAATACAGAGTCACACTTCAATCAGGGGTCCAGATAAGTTTTAAAAGCATGTTTTGAAGGAATTCCAAATATGGGCCAGTAAATAAATGTTTTGTTGTTGTTGTTGTTGTTGTTGTTGTTGTTGTTGCTTTTGTTGTTTTGTTTTGTGAGCTTCACCAAATGATCAGAAGTTTTCAAGCCACACCATATGTGGAACCTATTCAAGGACCAAAGATGAATGAGAGCAAAGTTTAATTATCCTGGGAGATCAGTTATTTGTTTTTGTTTTGTTTTAAACTCAGAATCTGATTGGCTGCCCAGGGGCTGTCTAATTACTAATCAAGTTACCCATGTAATTATCAAATAGCTAACTTGTCAGTTGCTAGGAATGTAACAGGAGAGTGATTTGTGATCTGTTCTTTAACAAACAGAACTGACAGACTTCAAGACAAGAAGAGTCCAGCAGTTTAGAAAGAGCATGGTGAGTAGCATTGAATTAATAAACTTTGGCTGATGAAGAGAAAAACAGACCATGTGCGCAAGTAGCAATTCTTGTTTTCTATGTGATCTTTGTTTGACTAATACTTTCTGTTTTTTAGACTGAACGGGCAGAGTTAGAGCTGAAACATGCCAAGGTACTGTTGAATGGATTATTCATTTTGAACGTGTTTCTTTTTAGTTGTTGTATTACTTAGAATAATCCTGTTTGAATGTCTTGCTATAACCAGATTTATGAATTGAAATTTGCCAATGTTTGGCTCTCTGCCTCGAGTATTGTTATCCCTACTAATGGTGGCACTGACTGAACTTGAACTTTTTTCCACCATGCTGGCAATAATGATGATTTGCACTAGGTTATGAGTCAATGATTCCTCTGCATCACTGAACTGCTATGCATTGCCATTTTCTTAGCTGCTGCACAAGATTTTTTTGTGGGGAGGGGGTTGGGGGGCGGGGGAAGAGGATAGCCTGCGTAGCGAGATTGATGTTGCTTGCGAGTGGCTTTTTTCAGCTGCAGAGCAGCGCGGGAAAATTCCACCCATATGAGTACTACCAGAAGTCCCTGCGGCTACGGTGCTCTTGCAGGAGCGGATCCAGGGTTTTACTTAGGAGGCGTGCCCCACTAAGGAGTGGCATAACTGACTGTTGAAGTCAACAAATTTTAAAAGCATATACGAAGAGGAAGGCTTCATCTCGGGGGGGGGGGTGCAAAACCCCTGCACCCACCCCCTAAATCTGCCCCTGTCTTGTTAGATAGTGTCGTAAAACACTCTCGCGCAAAATCCCGCGCGTAATCCCGCCAGCTACGTAGGGAATTCTGGGTAGCCCTGGAACTTGCCAGAGTGTACCTGGCCCAAATCACCTTGAGGATGTTGACCGCCGTGCTAAATAGCCTGACCTGAGAATTAGACTGTGGCTTTTCCTCCCATGGCCCAGGTCTAAATGCTTTAGAAGTTCATTGGCTCCTTTCTGTTGTCTGTTTCAGGCCCACGTGAACCTCCTGAAAACAACATTAGGACAGTTAAAGGAATTGTAGTCAACAGCTGACAGATATTAATTAGGAAATACTCTTCAAACAATTTCGTTTAGTAGTGATAAAAATTGTTCAAAATATAATTAAAACACATAGCGTTATAAAACTGCGACGGTTTACAACGAACGTCAAACATTTGTCCTAAAGCCAAAGATAAATGGACTTTTTAAAAATGTTTTGGTGATCCTCATTGTCTCTCTAATTTTACGTCAATTGATTTTTTAACTGCCATTTCCTAGTGAGCCAACGATTTTGTGGCAGCGGCTGGTTAATATGACGTATTCGTATGACGTCGACCTGACGTAATTTCTTGCAATAAAAGTTCCTTGACTGACTTAAGGAAGCAGTCCAAATTATTCTAATGTTTTAAAGAGTATAGTGGTGAGCGGTGTTAGGGGAAGGTCACGTTAGAGACCATCTGGTCTCGGAACTGGAGAGTTATGCACTTTTGTGCGGCACTTAAAGTTGATTTATTTCAGTAGAATAATACAGAATTACAAATTGTGTTTTATAGAGTTGCGTTTCTGCAAACAATACAGTGTTAGTTAGTGTTGTACTGGTCTCCTCGGTACTATGGTTTCGATCCATTCCCTTCCCTTCCAAGGCTTTGTTGCCCTTTCTGTCCCCCTCCCCTCACGGGCACCATAGATTTCCAGAGGAGGGGAGATGGTAAGAGGCTGTGGCCATGGAAATTTTAAATTGACTGCGATTTCGTACATGGTCCTACATGTATCAGGTGGGTGAAGGCAATGTCATAGTTTGCCTCAGTGTTATTCGTTGAGCAAGTAATCGACTCCGAGATAGGGTTTCTTGTCAAACCCTTTCGAAGTCCGAATTCCGATTGTAGCGGTACAAAAAGGTAAATCTCTAACCCCATTAAATTTAAAAGCAGTACGAGGGCGAGTTAGTAGTACACATGCTCTGTATTCGCCACAATAAATGCTGCGAATTTGAAACTGTCAACCTCAAAAACACTTTGTATCCCTCACAAGCAAGATTTTTCGCCCGCGACCAGGCAAGGTGAACCAAACTGTGACTGGCGCCCATCCAAGCGGGCAAGATGGCGCTATCTTGCCCCCTCGGGATTACCCGTTCTTTTATGCCGGAAAATGTTAATGGACGTCGACTGCGTCTCCGTACTAAAACACACCAATAAAAAGAGACTTTGCAAATATCCAGCCCTCTGGACTACACGTTTGATCAATAACCTATTCTGTATTGCAAATCTGATAGTTACCAAGAACGGAGTTCTCCTGTGTCTATTTAGATTCTCGACGCCCTTCCGGACTTTTTGATTCTATAGCGAGGGAGGGATTTTAATCGAGTTGAAACAATAGGCGACTGGGCTCACGCTGCCCGTTATCTCGAAAGATGTGAAAACTACATTGATTTCATTCTTCACTCGTTTGTTGAGACTACAGTAGCACCCCGGACCCGGGGGAGGATACTCCCCCACAATACCTATACGGGTAGGTGCCGCCCAACGGGGTCGTGATTTTGGGACTCCTGATCTAGAATGGAGACGTTTCCTAGAACGGGGTAAAATATTTCGAACGTACGAAAGCTCGTCAAATTATCAGCAGCCATTTGAAGTTATTCATAGAGAATTTTACGTTTCAGTAAAAGTTTCCAAGACAATTTAATAAGATGGTAAATAAAGAAATTGCTAATCACGGCTTTATCTTCCGTTTGAAATTGAAGCAATCAGGTTGCTGATTTGTGCAGAGGCAGCATTGTCGTATCTAGATATATAGGTCAACTAAAAATAAATAACTTTCAAAACAACGTACGGACTATTGAAATTTACTAAATCTAGAGAACGGGGTCTTAAAAATTGACCTTTTTCTACAACGGGACATCATTTTGAATGCAAATGCAAAAGGGTTCTAAATTTAGAAACCCGGGCGGCACATACCCACCCAAATCAAACCCAAGTACCCCCCCTTCCTCCCCCCGGCGTAGCACCCCACACAGTAATTTTCTTTTAATATTCAAGAACTCGTACGTTCGGATTAATAATTTTATTGGGTTTCCTCACAATACTTAAAGTAACCATCTGTAGTGTTCTATATTTTGCCCTCAGACGGAAGATCAAACGAACTTAAAAGACAGAGTCGATCCGTGGGGCAATATTTATTCTTTGTAAACCTCTTTTGACCCAGCATGTTGCCGCAACTATTTACAAACCGATCAACATGATCAAGGTATATTAATTTAAAAATTTGAGATCTTTACTTTGTCACGCTTGAAGTACTGTTTGCTAAAGGGACCCTAAAGGGTTATTTTCCAATAAAAGTTTTGAACTAGTGCTATATAGAAAACGCGTATTTTTGATTTTGTCAACTAA